GTCCACTCACCTGTCACCCCGACAACAGACACGGGGCCCACACGCTGGCCACTGTGGATGCCATACAGGTTCATCTTGTACTTGTGGTCTGGCTCCAGCCCAGAGATGGTGACCTGGTCCTCATTTCCTGGTACCCGCACCAACTTGGGCTGCCCGTCCCCGTTCCTGTACTGGATCAGGAAGTGGTCAAACTGTCCCTCGGGGACGGTCCAGGAGAGGCTCAGGGAGTTGGGATCGGTGTCTGTCACAGTCAGCTCCCCCAGTTGTGGCTTGGGCTTGGGAGTCATGGTGGGTGGTTCTGTGGCCTCCTCTTCCTCCCACGGCACTGAACATGGAGAGAGGGGGATGACCATGGGAGCTCTCTCAGCTCTGGACCTTTGCAGCTGTTTAGAAGGCCAGAGTTGGTCTCTCACTTACCCGTCAGGGCCTCAATTTGAGCTGGGCCCACACGCTGCCCATCATGGAAACCATACAGGGTTACCAGGTATCTGTGGTCAGATTCCAGGCCGCTAAGGGTGATGTCACTCTGGTCACCCTCTGTACTGACCACTTTGAGCTGTCCATCTCTGTCGGTGTACTGGACCTCGAAGGAGTTAAATTCTCCCTCAATCACCACCCAGGAGAGACGCAGGCTGTGAGGCGTCGCCTCCTCCACTCTCAGCTCCCCGAGGTGGGGCGCAACTGTGGGGGTCGTGGTCGTGGGGACCTCTGTCCACGCCTCTGTTGTTTCTCCGGGGCCTGGTTCAGAGAGACGGGACGGAAGGTGACTGGCCTGTTACTGGCCTCGTCCGTTGAAGGGAGGGAGGAGGAAGGGGTATGGGAAGGGAGAAAGGCAGAGGAAGCAGGGTTGGCAGAAGCATTTGAAGTGCCAAACACCAAGGAGAAGACGTTGCATTTTGCATGAGTCTGAAATGAGATGCAGAGAGACAAAGCCCAGAGGACAGGAAGCATTCCAGTGGCTGCCAGGGCCTGGCGAACGGAGCGCAAGCAGGATCTTATAACCTCCTGGCAGGAGTGAAGCCACCCTAACGGGACCTGTGCCCCTCCCATGGGTCATCAGACCAGCAAAACAAACCCCACCCTGCCCCACGTTAAGTTGCCCAGGAATCCCACGCTGGGAGAGGGAAAAGGTTAAAGGTTGGTGCCAGCCCGAGGGGGAGCATGTCTCCTGGAAAGAGGTTTCACACAACTATGACAGGTCATCAGCCCAGGAGACTGGACCAACTCTTGACTGGGCCTGCTTAGCTATACGTACACCTCTGGCCGTCCACTTAAACCTGAACCTCATGTCAAGACCCCAAGACGGATTTGAGGGGCTCGCTGGGCCTCTTTGCTCCTCTTTCCAACATGGCCACATTGGATAAATCTCTTTTTCTGCTTTTCTCTGTGACTTGTCTGTTTGCTTGGCCTACGGAGGGCAGGTGTCCAGGCCCCTAACAGATGGGGGTGCAGGGCTGAGGGGACTGCCTTGCACCTCCCTGTGAGGACTGCTTTGTGACTTGTACATATCCCAAAGCCCATTGGCACTGGGTGTAAGTTGTGACTCAGTAGAGCTGCTCACCCCCCCAGAAGAAGGGCACCGAGGAAACGGGACCTCTTGGGTGGACTGTCACACTCACCAGTCACAGCGATGACAGAAAGGGGACCCACACGCTTGCCTTCTCGGAGCCCATAGAGTAGCAGCTTGTACCTGCGGCCTGGGTCTAGACCAGAGACCCTGACCTCTCTATGGCTGCCCTCCACGGGCACCACCTGGGACTGCCCCTCCCTGTCTTTGTATTGGATGACGAAGGAGTCAAACTGGCCCTCGGAGACGGTCCAGGAGAGGTCCACGGAGTCTGGGGTCACACCAGTCACCCGCAGTTCCTCTCCCAGCCGAGGTTTTGACGGAGACTTGACTCCAGTTTGGTCCACAGTATCCAGGGGCTCTGAGAGGGAGACACAGGCAAGAGATAGTTCAGCTGGTCACGGGCTGCGGGCTGTGACCTTGAAGGGCAGGGCATGGAGAGGAGAGGCCACAGATGAGAGGCCGCCCTCCACTCACCTGTAGTGCCCTCTGTGGTGAGGGGGCCATAGCGCTTCTTCCCCTGGAGCCCATAGAGGAGGAATCTGTACTTGCGGCCCGCGTCCAGGGCTGTGATGGTGGCCGAGCGCTCTTGGCCCTTTATCGGCACCACCCGGGGCCCACCCTTGTCCTTGAACTGGACCAAGAAAGAGTCAAAGTGGCCCTCGGGCACCGTCCAGGACAGGCGCAGGGAATCCGTCGTGGGGTCCGTCACCCACAGCTCCCCAAGGCGGGGAGGGGCCCCTGGGCTGGCGTCATCTCGGGCGGCTGACACAAAGAAAGATTCTTGTATTTATTTTTTCCGAAACGATTCTTGACCACCTCCCACTAGGGCTGGAAAAATCCAGAGTGGCCCAAGTGGTCAGTGCCTCCCTAGATATTTCCATCACCCTCTCTTTCCAGAGCCTCCCCGACTCGACTCTCGTGGGGATGAGACTTCTGTCTTGAGTCACCCCCGCGTGGACACCCTAACTCCCTCCTCTTTTTATCCTTCTCTCTGACGAGGCTCTTTCTGTCACTTGGAGACTTCCCTTTCCACAGGGCCCAGCTTACCCAGAAACCCCAGCTGAGTGACCTGACTGGCGCCCTGGGGAATTCCTAGGGGTTAGAGGCTCTCTGTGGCAGACGGGCAAGTGGGGGAGGTCGGATGCTGTGGGGGGTCAGTGTGGGGGGTCAGAGCCTCCCACTCATCTGGCTCACAACACCCACTCCACGGGGCCTGCAGGAGGCATGGCCATGCATGCACGGTCACATGTTGTGGGGACTTGTGTTGGGAGTGACACACACAAGAACACTCAGAGAAGGGATCCCGTGACCGCCAGAGGAGCCATCCAGCTTGGGAAGGCGCTGGCCCACCGCCCTCCTGGACAGCAAAACCACTGACGGAATTGTTATTGCAAGAGACTTCTGGCAACGGGGAGCCCCAAGGGGCAGAGGACGGCCTGGACCAAACCCCAAGAAAGGGTCCAGCTGGGTAGGGTTTCTCTGGTGTCCATTTTCCCAGGCTCCGGGAAGTCAAGAGAGGAAGGTGAGCCTCTGCTAGACGTGGATGTGGGGGTAGGGGATGAGCCAGACAGACAAGCCACACTCTCAGGCTGTGACCCTGCCACCCGGCCCAGGAGGGCAGGAGGGGCCCCTGGCCACCTTCACTCCTCTCCAGGAGGCCCCAGGCCCCCACAGCCCATCCTCTAGTGAAGGCCCAGCATGCAGAACAAATGAAGGGAACGTGCCCTGTTGGATCCCTGCCTGGTTTGGACTGGGATGGGGAAACAGCGAAGGTGGCCAGCGGGAAGTTCAAACACTTCGGAGAAGGCTGGGGCCTTAGGTGGGGGTCAAGCTGAGCCTCACGCAGTCCTCACCTGTCTTCGCCTCCACAGAGACCTGACTGCGTCGTCTCCCATCCTGGACCCCGAAGAGCAGGAACTTGTACTTGCGGGAGGACTCCAGGCCTGGGATGGTGACCTCCCGCTGGTCTGCCGCCACAGGCACCGTCTGGGGCTGGCCCTCCCTGTCCTTGTACTGGACCACGAAGGAGTCGAATTCACCCTCAGGGACAGTCCACGAGAGGCCCACGGAGTCTCGGGTCACGTCTGCCACTGTCAGCTCCCCCAAGCGTGGCTCCAGGGGCAGCTTGGAGGCCTCAGTGGCTGGAGCTGGTGCTGGTGGGATGGGATCTAGGGTGAGAAGCAGAACATGGCTGAGCTCCTGGAAGGAGACCTGGCTCTGCCTGCCTTGGGGGCTAACAGTGAAGTGGGGGAAGAGTTTCCTCTTCATCTTCAGTGGCCTGGGACAGCCTGGTCTTCCATGACCAACACGGTGTCAGCTGCATTTGTGGCTCTCACTGACAGAAGGACATGCTTTCACATGGCCTTTGTTATTCGGGAACATCAAAGCATTGTTTGTGCTCATCACCGCCGAGTGAGCTGACAAAGAGGCCCAGGTATTGCCAAGTCATCAATCAGAGAGTAAAATGTGTGATAATGGCGCATTGGTATCCTCAAGATGACCCTATGGATCTCAGACCTGAGGATGCTCAAGTCCCTCATATAGGGTGGCGGTCTCTGCATATCCTGAAAACTTCAAATCATCTCCAATAACTTACCATCCTGAAGCAATGTACACGCTATGCAGGTGGTTGGGAACTATATGGTTTATGACAAGTGAAAGAGCTGTACCCACTCAGTACAGACACACGGGGGTGCGTGTGTTCATGTGTGTGCAGGTGAGCATGCACGTGGAGTGCATGTTCATGTGTGTAAGTGAACATATGCATGTGTGCATGCAGATGTAGAGCCCTTTTGTGCTGTTCGTCAGTAGCCGTCCATCTCATTTTCTCCTGAGACGCAGCCCCTCACTGGGCTCTGGAACTGATTAGGCGGGGCTGGCTGGCCAGTGAACCCCAAAGACTCTCCTGTCTCTGCCCCCCCCCCCCCCAGTGCTGGGATTGCAAGGGCTCTCCACCACGCCCAGCATCTTCCACGGCTCCCGGGAATCTGAACCTGGGTCCTCACGCCTGTGCGACGCCGACAGAGCTATTGACACAGTCTGAGGAGGGACTCTTCTAAGGTTTTCTTTCTGGGTCTGGTGAGATGGCTCAGTGGGTAGAGGCATTGAGCCCGAACCTGACTTCAACTCCTAGGACCCACACGGCAGACGGAAAAACTGACTTCCGATGGGTTGTTCTTTGACCTTCAGTCATGCTGAGACTTGAGCATCTACACACACGCACATGCACACACACATATACACACATGCACACACACACATACGCGCACACGCGCGCGCACACACACATACACACATGCACAAATGACTGTAAAAAGATACATTTTTTGAGCCAGGCAGTGGTCTCCCACACCTTTAGTCCCAGCACTCAGGAGGCAGAGCCAGGTGGATCTCTGTGAGTTCGAGGCCAGCCTGGACTACAGAGAGAGTTCCAGGACAGGCAACAAAACTATACAGAGAAACCCTGTCTCGAAAAACAAAAACAAATGAGAGAGAGAGAGAGAGAGAGAGAGAGAGAGAGAGAGAGAAAGAGAGAGAGCTGTGTGCATATTCTGTCTACAGCAGCATGGGAAACATCTGTAGATATGGAATGCTGATTATATCATATAATTCTCTTTTCTAGATGTTAATGCAGTGTTCTGAGAGAGAATAGGGGCTCCCCCAGACACCGTGGTCCCCAGGTCACAGTGAGCGTATGTCCAGGAGCCATGAAAGGAAGAGGGAGCCAGGAGCTCAGGGAGGCGTGTCTCCCGGAGGGGTGAAGTTGGAGTGACCAGGAGGATGTGACTTGGACGGGCACCCAGGGCCTCTGAGGAGTTCTGAGGTGTGTGTGCTGAACTGCAGTGAGGAAGGGTGGTGGTGGCTGTGCTCACGTCACATCCCAGTAGGGTTGTAAGGAGAAGGGGAGGGAAACGAAACAGTGAAGTCAAAAGGAGTGAGGGGAGGGGAGAGGCAAGGGGAGAGGGACGGGGGGGGGGCAAGTGGGAGGGAGGGTCAGGGTTGGCGTGCAGATAAGGAAGCCACCGAGGGCGGGGGGTGGGGGGAGGGTTCCAGCCTTGGGGAGAAGCCGAAGGTTTGGGGACTGGACTCCGATGTCTGTGAGTCTGGGGAGGCCTGTAGGTCACTGACGCAGAGACTGGGGGGTGAGGGGTGGTAGTCCCAGGTCACTGACGCAGAGACTGGGGGGTGAGGGGTGGTAGTCCCAGGTCACTGACGCAGAGACTGGGGGATGAGGGATGGTAGTCCCAGGTCACTGATGCAGAGACTGGGGCATGAGGGGTGGTAGTCCCAGGCAAGGCTGGGACAAGAGCCTTGAGGAAGGACTGTGGGGAGCCAGGGGTGGGCACTGCCTGGCTGCCTCGCTCACCTGTCATTGCCAACACCGAGAGGGGCCCCACACGCCTGCGGCCATGTAGTCCATAAACGTTCATCCTGTATTTTCTCGCAGGCTCCAAGTCAAGAATGGTGACCTCGCGCTGGTCTGCCCCCACAGGCACCTCCTGGGGCTGCCCAGCCCTGTCCTTGTACTGGACCACGAAGGAATCAAACTGCCCCTCAGGGACCACCCATGAGAGGCTCACAGAATCGGGGGTCACACCAGTCACTGTCAACTCCTGCAGACGGGGCTCAGGCGGGGCCTCGATGGCTGGAGGGGTCTCTTCTGGTTGTGAGTCTGAAACAGAAATGGCCAAGTCTGCTAGAAAACAGTCCTAGGGGTGTTACACAAAAAAACCCCGCACCATCAAGAAGATTCACCAGCAGTATGGCTCAGCAGGTAAAGTCACTTTTGAGCAAGGTGGATAACCCAAGTTCCATCCCAGAACCCAGGTAAGGGTGTAAGGAGAGAACCAGACCCACAGAGTTGTCCTCTGATCTCTGTACGTGCACCATGACACCCACACATCAGATAAAACAGCAGTAACGCCGGGCGGTGGTGGCGCACGCC